TCGGGTATAAATAGCTCTCTCCCAGTAAACTCTCTCACAATTTCCTCTCAACCGATAAATTAATACAACAATCCTTTCAACCAGCAAATAACACCCGACAATCCTCTTATATTTGATTCAGAAGTTCGTTCGATATTTCTTTATAAAGTAATTTTGTTATAATATTTTTTAATTATACTTATTGTTTATTATGATTATTTGAAAAAATATTATACTAATTGTTTTCAATTAATTTCTGCCAGTTCAAGGATCTCCCAGTAAACTCTCACAATTTCCTCTCAACCGATAAATTAATACAACAATCCTTTCAACCAGCAAATAACACCCGACAATCCTCTTATATTTGATTCAGAAGTTCGTTCGATATTTCTTTATAAAGTAATTTTGTTATAATATTTTTTAATTATACTTATTGTTTATTATGATTATTTGAAAAAATATTATACTAATTGTTTTCAATTAATTTCTGTGCCAGTTCAAGGAGAAAGCGGGAGCATACGTCGAAATATTTTTGCGGTACAAGTAATAATATAAAATTATATTATTTAAATTATTTACGTTTATGTGTAAAAAATTTATTGTGTTATATTTCCGTTCATATATTATTTATTTAATCAAGTTTGTTTCATTTGTTTTTTTTCAGATATAATATTGTCGCACTTTTAAACTCTAAGAATGACGCGGCTTTTAGCTATTGTTTATTATGAGAAGATGAAACCGGCGTTGTTTTTGTATCAAAAGAGCGTGTTAAAATATCATTCAAGAGAAACGTAACTCTTGAGGAGTTGATAACGAAGATTTCGAAGAAGGTTCATGTTGGAAGTAGTAGAAGAATGTTGTCGTTGCAGTACAGATTTCCAACATCATTGTTGCCATTAACTTATACAACGTTCGAACTATCGAACAATGATGATGTTGAAATGATGGCTGATTCTCAAAGTAATTATTCAGACGCCGATATTGAGATGTATGCAAAGTTTGTTCAAGTGCGTGTTGTTCGGGGTCAGTCATTAAACTCCCACAATGGGTTGGTTGAACAAGTTGATCAAGTTGACAACCCAACTACAGTAATGTGTAATGAATTTAATGTCATAATGGAAAATCCGTATCATGATGTCGTCACATCAACTTCAATGAGGAGACATTCATCCGCAACTCCTTACGATATGTACTGAGGTGGGTCCACAAATAATTCGTATGGCAACATCGCATCTAGTTCAAGGGGAAGGCATTCATCTGCAAATTTCTTTGACCTTAATATGGAGATGTCATCGATGCAACAATTTGTGCAGTTTCCATTTGATACGATGACTTCAAGCTCCAGGGGAAGGCATTCAACTGCGAGCTTTTTCGATATCAATATCGATATACCTTCTAGTTCAAGGGGAATACGTGCAAGTAGTATATTCTTCGACCTAAATGTGGAGAGCATGGAGGAATCATCATCTCCACCAGAAGAACCGCTTCGTGAGCCTGGTGCGGATGATGCTGAGACTGGACTATTCATTCACCCAGAATCACCACAATTTAACTCCGATAATGATGATAATGTAGATGAAGCTCCATCAAATGTGGCACAAACTTACCCTCCAACACATATGTATGAAGCTGATTATGGTGCAATGTACGGTCCAGAATTTGCGGATATGTCTCATCTCGGTAACTATGGATATTACTCATCAATAAGTAATGGTGAGTTATCTTTAGACATTGAATTTTCAAGCAAAGAATAAACGATAATTACTATAAAAAAATTACAATATTCGTATTTTTGTTCAATCGAGAGTCGACCGCTCCACGACAGAAAAATATGTATGCTACTGTGCCCGACGCAAAAACAGATGCAATTGAACAAAAATACGAATATTGTAATTTGACACATATGCCTAAGTTGGGGTTCATATGCCCAAGTTGGATATGCAAACATAGACTCATAATATCCTCTAGGAAGGGTCATATAACTCTGTGACAGTAGCGACGATAGGATCATAAAACCATGTGGCGGCAGCATCGGGTAAGGGAATGACGGTGGCGGCATCACATATGGCTGCGGTATGTAAGTCGTTGTAGATAGTGGCTATTGTAAAGGTCTTGCTGGTGTAGTTGAGGATGAACCGGAAGCACCTGCTCTCCATCCACGAGTCGGGGGACGATGGTACTGGTGTCGGTGAATGTCTCTGTCGAAGTCGCTGAAAGGTACGCCCTCGTGCATCATTGGAAAACAGAAACAGTTTCCCGTTACTGTTGAACCACTCATAATAACCGTCAACAGCTGTCAAAAGGTCAACAAAAATGGGCTCTTTACAGGGAAGGCGCCGATGTCGATCCTTCCACAACACGACCCACTCATGATGCCTCACCAGCCAATCTGTATCTGTCTTGCAGCGTCTATCTGTGTTATGCAACTCGTTCATATTGCGAGGTGCTTCCAGAATTAGTTGAAAACAATCAAATTGCCAGAGCACGCGATCAGTGGAATATCACTCGACGATTGCATAACAGATCAAAGGGATCATCGCCATCCAAACATCTGATGGGTCCCTCAACTTAAGTGGGATCACCATCCTCACATCATCATTATAATATGACACAATTCAAACTAAAACAAATATATATAATTTTTATCAAAATAATAATCTAATTATATAACTATAATATAAAATCGATTTTTAAACATTAAAATGCATACTTGTGTGACAGCCTTCTGATCGATTAACACCCTAATTTTTTCCTATCAGTTGACCACCTATTCAAGGAAAAAAATTATTATACACTGTATAAAATGATTAATATACGAAATCAGATTTATAATTACCTCAATAGTACCGGAAATATGAATGGGTTCTTGACAACGAGACATAAAAAGGACAATCGATACCATACCCAAGATTGCAGTAACAGAAGACATCCGCCGATAGCATTTTTCCTGTAGTCAGTGGCTCGACACATCTCCCTGTACAGGAAAGCCAAAACTGCTGAGTCCAAACTGAGTGATCCGGCCAGACGAAAGTTGCCAAGATGTCGCAACCACATACAATAAACTTGGTTGCACGATTTGTCCGGCATTAGCAACCCTCTTATCAGCTACAATATGCATGCCCGTGCATACATTTTAACTTCATCATCAGAGGTGTCATCGCTCAACTCCCGAAAATTGACATCTAACTAATTTAACGGTATCCGACCACCGTTAAAACTTTCCGGGACACGTCCTAGATACTCCCGGCACAAAGCAGTCCAGAAACCGTGTGTCATCCCCGATATCACATCTCCATCCACCGGAAGCCCCAGGTGCATAGAAACATCCTCAAGTGTAATCGTGCACTCTCCGCACAGAAGATGAAATGTGTGGGTATCCGGCCTCCACCGCTCCACTAAGGCAGCAATAAGGTCTGGTTCTATCTTATAGTGACCCTCATATCTACCTATGTGACCGAATCCAGCCTCTACTAAATACGACAAGACACAGCTAGATAACACTAACTTAAGATTCCTAATAAAAGGATCTAATACACTGTCTCTCTCCTAAAATGAAATAATTACAAAAATTAATTTTTAAACTAATAATCATGCATTAAATAAATAAATAAATTATTACTAATAATTTAAATTAAATTAAAACGTTAAAATGTTATCGTATCAGCAAAATGTCGAGATATATAATTTCCATCCAAGCGAAGTAGACCGCCTTCCATTTTATATTTACAAAAAAATTAATTAAATAAAATATTAAAAAATTTAAATACTTAAATATATTACAAATAAAATATTAAATATAATAAAATATATCTTAAACAGTTATAAGAGAATATAAGAGTATTTGAGAGAAGTTGAGAGAAGTTGAGAGGATTTGGTGTGATGAAATTGATTGAGAATGAGAGTATTTATAGGGAGGGATAAGGTGTGAACGGCCGTGGTATGTGGGTAATTAAACCTAAGGAGAACATTAGGGGTCGCGCCTTTCTGATGAGTGTCAGATTTAAAGGTAAGGCGCGACCCCTGCCTCGCGCTATACCCTTACGTGGCGTAAGGCGCAGCCCAGAAGTCACGCTTTACACACGTGTATCCATGTCAGAATAAGACGTATTTTAAGAGGCGCGTCTTACACCGTGTGATTTCAGATCAACGTAAAACGTGCTGCAGGAGCCGTATCTTATTACAAAAGGTGTTAAATTGAGAAAAATAATCTAAACGATACATGATAAGAAAATATATAAGATATAGATGATATATCGAGAAAAACGTCAAACAATTGAAAAAGATACGTAAGCAATGGAGTCTTCATGTTTTATCGTAATAGAAATGTGAAATTTGGAAGATGGAAGAAAAGGAAAAGTGTTTTCGAGAAAAAAGCTTTATCCAATCATAGAGAAGCATCTGTGGTTGAGTATGAAACTACTAGAACTACTTTTTTATGAAGATTCTCGGTTCAAAAGTCGACAAGTGTCATTTAAGCGGGCCCCATTATTTTGAGAATTTAAAGCTGTTTTTGTTAGAGCCTTACAGCCGTCTCATCGTCTATCTCACCATTCCGAAGCACTAATTTTATCTTTATCTTTTTTCTAAATAATAAAATTAAAGAATAATAATAATAATAATAAACACATTCACTAGCAAGTAATGAAATAAATAATAAAGTTTATAATTAAAATTTAATATTAAAATCTATGTGATTATTAAATAATAATATCTCGAATCAAAATAAATAGATAAATAAAGGGTTAAAATAAAATAAAATAATAAATGTAAAAGGAAGGGAGCTAAAAGAACAGGTGTCTCCTATGGCTTTATGACAAAACACGGGACCTTACCTACCTTATCTAATAATTGCTTGGGAAAAGCTGGGGTGGTCTTTTTTCCCACAAAAAACGACCCCTGTGTGTCGAACCAAAAGGCTATACGCGTGGCAGGTGACGGGCTCGACCAATTAAATACACAAGTCGAGACGAGACGCCGCCGCAGCTTTATGGCTAATGTACTCATTCATTTTTGACACTTTTTTTGTGTGTTTGGAGTGAACCGTAAGTTTGGGGATTTCAATTGTTTGTTGATGATAAAGAATATGATTCCATGCAATATAAACAATAGAAGTGGGAAGAGAGAGGAACAGTACTGAATTAGGTATAGGAGATGGATTTGTACGACAGCACCGGGAATCTTGTTGAAGCTCTGACAAATGGCGATTCTCAGATGATTGCATCGTCTAAGTGTCCTTCTCTTTTGGGTTCTAAAGACCGTGATTATCTCCTTTCCTCAACTGCTGAAGCCGATCAGGTTGGTTTCCTTTTATTGTTTGATTTCTTCTTTGCTGGACCACTCGTTCTTTTATCTTCTTCTTCACCATGTCTACTGTTTTTTTAGCTGTAACCGTATTCATTGTTCTGCTATGCTTTTTGTACTTTTTTAATATCAATTTCTTTTCCCATGTTCTTCTTCCGGAATTAACCTTTCTAGAACCATCGTTGATTGATGATATATTTCTCAAAGTATTCAACTTTATTTGTTAATTGTTAGCAATCTATACCTATTTATGTATGAAATATGGTGATTGATATGGTATACTCTTCAGTCTTATGGGTATATTATTGCATCGACTAGATCTTATGTTCAAGCCTCGCTTGTTTTTCCCTCTCAATATGTTGATCGATCGGAAAAATGACCGGAAATATGTCGGCGATCGTACTTTAAATTTCTGACCGAGATATTCCTTGTGGCGACCAAAAACATGCCTGTCTTCTTCAAATAAAAGGCTAGGGTCCTATGCGACGGTTGTGCTGAGAACATGTGGCATTTCTGTATCATCGCTTTAGCCTCACGACAAAGCTATAGCTGTAACACACCTGCCGCATTATCCTTTCAACACCACATAGCCGGTGGCGCGTCGCTTTTACAAATTTTTTGGGGAGTTCAAAATAACAATGAATTTTTATTAAACGTAACTGGCTATAGCAGGTAAAGATTTCGGATCTTGAAGGCAAGGTGATTGGGCTTTACTTCTCGGCTAACTGGTATCCACCATGTAGAAACTTCAACAGCCTGTTGGTAGGCGTGTACGAGAAGCTGAAGAGCAATGGGTGTAATTTCGAGGTTGTTTTCGTGTCATCCGACGAAGATCTGGGTGCCTTCAACGGTTACCGGGAAAGCATGCCTTGGCTTTCGATTCCATATTCTGATTTAGAGACAAAGAAAACGTTGAATCGACAATTCGACGTCGAAGGCATTCCTTGCTTGATTATTTTGCAGCCCGATGGTTCGATTTTGCATGATGGTGTAGAAATAATTTACAAGTATGGCGTTGAAGCCTTCCCATTTACTAAAGAGAAGTTAGAGGAGTTGCAAAGGGAAGAGAGGATGAAGCATGAGAGTCAGACCTTGACTAATTTATTAACCAACTCTGGAAGAGACTATCTTTTGGATCCAACCTTAACCAGAAAGGTTAGTGCTTTATACCTCATTAGCATGATATTAATAAACATGTACGTTTTCTCAAAAAAAAATAATAATATACGTATATGTTTATGAATTTTGAATAAGTTTTTTATATAAATTCATCTATTTACTTTGCAGGTGCCAATTGATTCCTTGATAGGTAAGACAGTGGGGCTGTATTTCTCGGCGCAATGGTGCATTCCATGTGCCAAGTTTACTCCCAGGCTGATATCCATCTACCACAAAATCAAGCAAAGCTTGGAAGAGAAAGGACGCGGCGACGATTTTGAGATCGTTTTCGTGTCGTGCGATCGAGATCAAAGCTCCTTCGTCTCGTACTATGCTACCATGCCATGGCTAGCGTTGCCTTTTGGAGAACCGACGATAAGAAACCTTGCGAAATATTTCGACGTGCAAGGCATCCCGTGCTTGATAATCATAGGGCCCGACGGCAAAACCGTGACCAAGCAAGGCAGGAACCTTATAAATCTGTACCAGGAAAATGCATATCCTTTCACGGATGCGAAACTGGAGTTGCTTGTGAAAGAAATGGAGGAGGCAGCCAAGAGATTACCGAGAACCGATTATCATGCGGGTCATCGTCATGAGCTTACTTTGGTATCCGAAGGCAATGGAGGAGGCCCGTTTATATGCTGCGATTGTGACGAGCAAGGTTCTGGTTGGGCTTACCAGTGTTTGGGGTGTGGCTACGAGGTGCACCCAAGGTGCATGAGAGCCGTGGACCCTGGATCGGTTGAACAAAGATGAGCTTTGAGCTGGCGTTTATAAATGCCAAAATTATTACTGATTTAGCTTTGATATATGTTATTATAGCTAATGAGCTAATGCCATGAAAATTATATTGTATAACATCGTGTACTTTTATAATTAATTAATAATTATAGGGTTAAATGTATTTTAACTCTAAAATTGTATCTTAGTATTAATTTAATATTTAAAACCTTTTTTAGTCCGAAATTATAATTGTATCTTATTATTTGATTCAAAAAATACTTTTGATATCTTTAAAAAATGATTAATGTGCAACGAATCAAGAGAAACATATATATTATATTCAAAGAGAATAAAAAGCTATAAAAATTAGAAAAAGAAAATTCTGAAAATTTTAAAATATTAAAATATTTTGAATTTTATAATTTTTTAAAATCTTATATATATATATATGAAAATTCTACGACTTCCTACGACCATTAGTGATAATCATTATTTAATTTATAAAAATTTAGAAATATAAAGGGATAACATATAATTATAAATTATTTAAAAATATAAAGATAAATAATTAAAAATAAAGGATGGATTATATCAATGATGATTTAATTAATGTCCCTTTTTATTTTGATCATTATTTTTGGAATTTTATTAATTAGATCACTTAATTATTTAAATGTATTTAATTAAATCAATTGCTGATAATATTTAATTAAGAAGTTGATGTGGTAGTTAAAATATTAGATATAATTACATATTTGGTCACTATTACTTATATATTCTATCAATTTAGTCTTAATTTTAATAAATTAAAATAAACTTAACCCTTAAATCAAATGGTGACATGTGTCACTGGTGTCAAGTGTAACAACATGTATTACCATCAAATTAGAAGATTAAATTTATTTTAATTTAATCGGGTCGGGTCATCGAGTTAGTACCTTGAAAATGTAAATGCTTGAGTGAAAGTAATGTTTAATGGATGGGATAAAATTCTCATACATCATCGATAAATCATAATACGTCATGTTAATAATGAATAAATTACAAAATTAAAAATAAATATTGATTGATTCAAGTCTCACTATATGAATTATCAAATTTATTCTATGGTTGTAAAAATTGTATTATCTGTAATTGCAACTTAAATACAAATTAATAACATCAGTATAGCATATGTCGGGACACCTAGCAAGCGAAAGAGTTCTTGCTGCCCAACTCGACAACCTACCTTTCATCATATCAATCAAATAAGAGTAAGTTAATTTGGTAACGTTTGTTTGCAACAACAGTTCCCCAAGGCACTTACCCATATTTGCAACTCCGAAGTCATCTGTAATATCCTTCCCAACCTCACTCTCACATTTTTTGAGAGAAGTATTTACGTCTTGAAGGTGCTAACCACATGATCCGAGCCGATTAAAATAACTTTAATCGTACAATCGGATGGTGACGCATATCATTACACTTGGCACTTGTAACACATGTCACCATTTGATTTGAGGGTTAAGTTTATTTTAATTTATTAAGATTAGGATCAAATTGATAGAATAAATAAGTAACAATGATCCAATGTGTAATTATACCAAATATTTTAACTGCCATATCAGTTTCTCCGTTAAATATTAACGACAAGTGACTTAATTGAATGTATTTAAATAATTGAGTGGTCTGATTGATAAAATTTCTAAAATAGTGGTCAAAATGAAAAGGGGCAATAATTAGGTGATCACTGATATAATTTACCCTTTATTTTTAATAATTTATCTTTAAATTTCTAATTAATTTATAATTATACGTTGAGCCCTTTAAATTTTTTAAATTTTTATAAATTAAATTAATGGATATTATCATTAACGGTGCTCATCAGTGCTCGTAATATACTACGATAGGTTTAGGGTTTATAATTTATGATTTAAAGGTTATAAGGTTATGGTTTAGGGTTTTAAGTTAATTGAGTAATTTTAAGGGTTAAATTGATGTGAAAATACGATAGGTGTGAAAATGATAAATTGAGTCTACTACGGGGACAAATGTGACCTTTTTGCTTATTTAATTATTTATGATCTGATTTGAAGACACTTAATTTCGTCCTTCCATGTTATTATATTTATATTTTAAATAATATTACATATTATAACATTATTAATTTTATCTACATTTGCAGGCCCAATGTTCGACCCAGTTTACACAAGACCCAAATATGTGGTCCAGCACACGTGACCCACTGGAGCTAGGGTATCCAGAACCCTAGCAGCTTCCCCATCCAGCGCCGCATCACCAAGACTCCAGGGCTATCACGTCGCTCCAATTCACCTTTCCCACAGCCGCACGTCTCGCCCAACAACTCACATCATCGGCGCAGGGATCTCGCAACAACACCAATGACCCACGAAACCAAGTTAGACTAGGAATCAAATACTTAGATTCTAGGCTATAAATAAGACATGTAATCCAAACATTGAGGGGTTTTTTTACTAGAGATCATACGATTACAGCCGAGAATACGCTAGCAAACCCAAGGCAAACCGAAGCTTTTGTAAAACATTTCTAAAGGAAATAAAAAGAGAGGTAGCGTTTTACCTTGTTCGCTTTATCTTCACCCGCATGCTAGCTTATCTTTGCCTTTTTTTCATTCAAAGAATACACGGCCGATGAACAGGGAGAATCTTTCAAAACTTTGAATCTAGATCTACTCCTCGAGGCTCGTTTTTTTTGTTAAAAAATTTTGATTTTTGAAAAGTACGCGCAAAAGGCTTTCGAACTGTAAAAAAAAGGTTTGATTTTGCCGCCGCCGAACGGCGGCGGCGTTCATCGCAAGGATGAACAAATGAGAGCGTTTTGGATGAGGGGAGGAGCTCTCTCGTTTTTCAAATGGTTGAAATGATGATTTCAGACCGAAATTTGGCTTTTATAGTATCCATGAGCCCGACCCGATGACCCGAGCGGATCCCCTAGGGGATCCGCGTGTTTTTAAATAAAGAGGGCAAATCTGGTTTTTCCTCATCCCTCGTTTTAATTACTTCATTTTGGCCCCAACTCGGTTTTAATTCCCTCGGTTATCTTTGAATTCGGCCACTAAATTTCGTTTTTATTTCAATATAACCCTCATTACATATACTTAATTATATTTTTATTATATATATATATATATATATATATATATTTGTGTTTTTAATACTATTACAATTTTGAGTCTTTTATTTTACTATATATACGTGTATATATTTATTTATTTTATATTTTATGTATATATTTAATTATATTATTCTATTCGTTTTCTATAATTTTGTTTATTACTATTATATTATGTTGCTTATTATTTCATTTTTTTTGTTTTTACAGTATTGTCATTCATTTGTGTCTTTATTATATATATATATATATATATATATATATATATTGTATTATATTACATTTTTTTTCTTTATTGTATGTATTTCATTACCTTTCTATCTAACCCATTTTTTTGATTTCTTAAGGCGTACGCTTTTAAATCTATCAGAGGTAAGTAGGTAGGATCGAAACTTTACCTTTTAATTTAATTTTCAATTTTCTTAATTTAAGACAACTGGAAATTACGTAGTACCGAAAGGGCGGTTCAAGGGTGCTAATCCTTCCTTGACCGTAACCGACTCCCGATCTCGACATATTTATGGTAATACGCAGATCAGGTAAGAAATAGGGTATCCGATCAACCCATTTATTTTTAAATAAATGATCGGTGGCGACTCCAATCCACATTTTCCTAAGTCGAAGCCCAATTCCGGGGACCAACTGAAAGACGGTTACGACAGCTTGGCGACTCTGCTGGGGACGGTAAGTGAGTCAGGCTAAGGTAATTTCCAGTTGTCTTTTTAACGAAAAGGGTAAGTTTAAATTTTAAGATAACATTTCGATCATTTTTACTTACTTTTGATTATATTTTCGAGTAAATAGTTGGACTAATCGTTTTCTCGTGATTTCAGCCTTCAAAGTTTTTTTCATCTAAAGCTCTAAACCTGAGCTCCAAACCCTATTTTAAGTGGAGGTGAAAGCGACGCCTTCGTGTGAATTTATTCACCATGCGGGCCTAGCAAGTAGCCTTCGGGATTCATATACCTTATGTCTTCGTGTGAATTTATTCACCGTGCGGGCATAAGGGAATGTGTCCTCTCGAGTTTAACTTAGTCCACACAAGCCTGTGATGGGTTTAGGACTAAGGGTCTGGCAAGCCCAAGGGGGCATCGGCAAGGAGAACTCGGGTACCATTTTTAAAACCTAAACCGGGAGACCATGAAGAGTTAGAGCCTACCCCAAAACCACGTTCTAAAACCTAGGATATTTATACCCTAACCATGTTTTTTTGTGCTTTTTCCTTTCGTCATTTTTGTTATATTTGTATTTTTATTTTACTAACGTTTTTGCCTTTGTGTTTGTTTTCTAGCATTTGCATCATTACAAGAGGCTATTGATCCCTAAAAAGCATTTGTTATACACAAAATAATTCGAATTAATGGACAAAGGTGTTGTAATACAAGAGATTGAAAACGCTGAGGCACGACTATGGTCCGAGAAGACTCAGAAAGAGAAGGGAGACAGTCTTCAGGGAAATTATGTGTCAGAGATGGTTAGTCACGCCGCTGTCAGCCTGAAACAGAATGATGGCCAAGAACTGCGAAACATTTGGGACAGTTGGAAGAATGACAGAAAGCAGAAGTTCAACCAACGATATGGTGATATTGCCCTCTTGCTCCATGTCAAGACTGATGAGCCCCTGCTCCGAGCATTAATTCAATTCTGGAACCCGGGATATAGTTACTTCACCTTTAACCGGGAAGACATGGTGCTTACTATCGAAGAGTATACTACTCTATTGCACTGCGAAGGCATCAAACTATAGATAGCATACATCAAACACATCAAGAGTCAGCCTTTCAAGAACGGACTGGCCAAGATTGCAGGGGTTGATGAAAAGTGGGTAACTGATCGACTCCGACACAAAGGTAGCGGTAAAGGAATCGAATGGATCCATATAAAGCAACTAATGAAAAATCACCCTGATGAGTGGAAGACTGTAGACCTTTTTGCACTAGGTCTGTATGGTTTGATTATCTTTCCGAAGGCTTTGGGGTGCATTGACGCTGCCGTGGTAGAACTGTTTGAGCAACTCTCAAAACGAGTTAACCCAGCACCAGCCATCTT